CATTTTCACAGCATTTTTTGATAAAAGGATTGAATAATTTAAAAGCATTTGCATTTAAATGTAAATTAAATAAGCCAGTCACACATTTATTTAATTATTATATTATATGCACATGTATTTTTTTTTCCATGCATGTGATTAATTCTTAAATGCGCAAACGAAATACTTTTTCCGTATTATTATGACTGTGAAATTAGAACATACGTAAAAGTCCATTATAAAATATATATTTTTTAAAAAATGTCAAGTTATACTAATAAAACGTTTTATAAGATTTCCTATACAGATCTAATGAAAATACCCCCCCCCCCCCCCACACACACACACATTTAGAGAGAAAATAGCGTTATCTTTTAGTAATATAATTTTCTTTTTTAAAAAATTACAAAATGTTGTCATTTTTTCATTATTACTTAATCTGTCCGACATTAGAAACCAAAAAAGAATTATGCTTCCAGATTTGGTTCTGATTTTGATTTGAATCCGAAAGCAAAGATAAAGTTTCTTTGCCATCAATATAGAAAAATGCAGGGTGTGTGAATGATTTTTATTATCCGCATACTATCAAACCATTTCCCCGACATACGCACGTTTACCCACATTACGTCGAACCCCCTCCCCCGTCGAATTATCACATACCTGATCCTGTTATATTTTCTTGATAGATTGATGTGCAGAGCAGGTTCTATCTTCGAAACACGACCCCAAACCCTAAATTCGAGGAACCATAAATTGTCAAATACTACAGTTTATTAAAGTACACTTAAAATTAAGAAATCTTACAGGCATGAATCTGTCGCGTTTTAGGACACATGCACAGATGCGTATCCAGGATCCCGCAAATTCCAAAGGTGGGGTGGGGTTTCGGACCCCCCCCCCCAACCTACCCATCCATCCGTGCATGCTGCATATTACATGTAAGATGTTAAGATCAGAGGCAGGTTTCATATTCTCTCTATGTTTCTCCATGGCAATGATATCGCAACATATATCTCGCGCGGGACCGCTAGGTATGACCAAACGCACACGTCCATTACTGAACTTCACATGTACATAAATAGCTCATTTTCAAAGGATAACATTTAGCAAGAGATTTTACATGTTCTGTATATACATGTACTGATAAAATATGGTTGGATTTAAAATGCTAGTTTTTTTAGCATGTAAACACTTGCATTACCTGGATTTTCTTAAAGACTTTACAAACACATGTAAATACATGTATATATGCACAAATACTCTGTTGTGGAATGTAAATGTCATCGAGCTCAAATATATATTGGGTAATTTTGTCCTTTAACAGTGACATTGTTCTGTAGTGTATGTGCCTGCCAAAAAGTCGCATAAAAAACTGTTTGTTTGAGCAGAGTCTAAATGATACAATAATTCTCTGTCTATTAACATTACCTCAAAAAATTGAAGAAATCTTTAATGTGTTCGCTTTCAAAACCCAAGGAATTCATTTTCCCACCAAAATACTATCACAATTAACCCCGATTTTAACGAAACACAGGGTTTGTTGAAAAAAGAAGAAAGAAAAATTCATTTTAAAAATAAATAGATAAGAACCAAATAATGTGTGTAATAATTTTGTAATCCCCTTGCTCTCCCGTTGTCAGTTAAATGAATTAAGCCATTGATATTTCACCAAAAAAATTGCACGTAGATTACAAATACAACCAGCAGATATGTAAAAAGGGGAGGGGGCACGGTTTGCATTTAATCGGATAAATAGTCGTGGTTGCTGTCCTCTCGTGTTCTAAATATAGGTGTTCATAATTTTGACATTCATTCTCCAATTTTAATCACGTGATTAGTACACAGAAAAACGATTAACATCTTGTTTACAAACAAACACACACGACCTTTTGGGACCCATTTTGGGACATACTCTTCATCCTGTATTAGTTTATTATAAGTGTATTTATTTTTCAATATCTTAATTCATAACCACCACCATCACCCCCCCCCCCCCCGCCCCCATCTTCGCTAGCCAAGGGTTTCCGATCCGAAATCTACTCTACAACCCTTGGCAGATGTTGTAGAGTAGATTTTGGATCGGAAACCCTTGGCTAGCGAAGATGACCCCCCCCCCCTCCCCCCAAAAAATCCAGATATTCATAAACAGTTATCTATCGCATCCTTTCCCTTTGAACCCCCCCCCCCCCCAAAAAAAAATTCTTACATAGGCCTATAAAATAAAAAGAACTTTTATTTATAGTTTCAACCTTGTTCTGAACAACAAAAAAGGATGTGTTATTTACAAAAACAAAAACTCAGTAATAAATTTTTAAGGAAACGGATAAATATGCTTTTAACTTGTTTCCAAATCCCGTTTAATCTTTGTCAAGTGTATGTTTATTTATTATGCTTGTAATTTTAAAAAATGGTTTAAACTAGGATTTATTACCCAATGTTAAAACATTTTTTTTATTTAAAAAGAAAACAATGCCCTTTTCAACCGAAGTCTTCCTTTACAAAACACCCTTCTTGCTAGTTTATAGAATATCCCATATATCATGGTGAACATTACATCTTAATCTCATCTTTCATGAACAATACAGCTGGATACTTAGATGTGGAAACGGAGCAAAAAATTTTCTAACATTATAATAGCTATTGTATTGGTTTGAATTAAATTTTGAATTCTTCTCATTATCCTTTCACTTTCTCTCATAAAATAAAATATTGTTCGTATGTATTTTAACTTTACAGCATAATTTCAATACAAAATGCAAAAGTTCCCTGATGTCTATTTTGTATAAAATAAGATTGCCGATATCGACTTGTCCGACAAATCGTTGGAATTATATGACTCCGATATCAGCTAGATCGATCCAAAAAAATATGGAATACAACCCTAATTTATTTTCTTTTCAGGATTTTATTCGATATTGCCCCATAATTGATGCAGTTGAATTCGTTTATCAAATTTTACTTCCGAAAAACTGCAAATATTTTTTTTCCCTTTAATCGATCTCATCCATAAAATATGGAATTACAGAATTAATGTTGCTTAAAATTACCTCTGATATACAAATTATATTTTTTCAACTGGTCTATATATTTATCAGTTTAAGATTGTATTTTGCAAGTTTTCCTATATACCAAGGATTATTTTTGATTAACAACACCTTATAGTCAATGCCTATATCATTTATCGGCAGCTATAGGGAAGTGGGCTACGCACAAAAATTAGCCATTAAGACTTTTACTCCCGCCAAATTAACAGAAGCATTACACTGAACAGTTTAATGGTAAATTTTTTTTCCTAATTGCTGGTTCATTAATTAAAAAAACAAATCAATTAGCCTAACATGTGTTTCATCATTCAGTCAACATTAATGCTAAAATGAAATATTTATACAACTTCTATAGAATACATTGTAATAAATTAAATTCAAATTCATGGATCAAAGTTGTTTTATTATGATTTTTTTTTCAAAGTGAGAACCGTTCTTGGAGGAATTTAGCTTGCTTTTTATTTAATTTAGGAATAGAAAAATCTACGCGGGCTGCAGAAGCAAAATTAATAGAACGTGGTACGCTTTGAGCGAAATGTCTTAGAAGGCATCACACCGTACAGTGTATAGTAAGAAATTTGAATGCAAATGAAGAATAAAATGGAGAATGAAAAAACACTTATGTTGATCTATGCACTGTATTTTTACTTAATTATTTAGCAAATATTCAACAAACTTTCGATAATGTTTATGATTAGTCAGCTGATCTAAATCCACATAGTTTTGTTAATGTAATAATTGAATAAATTTCCATACACGCTTTCCTGTATATGACGCGCACTAAGCGTAAACCAGAAAAAAAATCCCGCAAAATAATGTCAAAAAAATTGTGACGTCGTTTTAATCTCGCAGTGACGTTATATTTTCTGTACACTGACGTCGCAGCCAGAGGGTTAATTAAAAGTATTTGCGCAATAGATGCAGCGATTGTTAGCTACATGGTACACAAGTGATGAGTGCCGACACGATTTTCAGTGAACAACAATGTATAGAGATACGTATGACAAGAACCACGGTTATCCACTAACAGTGGATTTTCTTACAATGTACATGCTTATCTTTAACTTACTAATTGACTCCTATATATTATTAGAACTGCAAATAACTCAGTATTACACTAAAATAGCCGAAAGAGAGTCATGATTTCCAGTTGCATATTTTTAGAAAACCCAGTGGAGTTATCTAACTTGCTTAGTGGCGCTGGATCGCGAACGGAAGTAGATTTACGATGACAGTAAGCGCTTTGCGCTGCGCTTAGCGCTTAATGAATAGTTCAGATAGTCCAGCATGTCAACATCAACAGCCATGTTTACTGACCTTGATAGATTTTATTTTGGGACAGCCAATGAGGAAGAGGATATATAGGAATTCGTCCCTTATTTTTAGCATAAATATCGTAAATGAAAAAAAAAAACATCCACCTCCAATTCGTTCGTTTTAGTGAAACCATATTAAGCCTATTAACCTTGTAACAAAACAGGTTTGAAGCCAGACTGTTTCATAAGTTAAAATTAATTATAGACTAATATTTTAATATGTGTTCAGTTTTAAACAATACAGACATTTTCCATAATCATGATAAATATACTTCTGAAAAAATGTAATACTAATTACACCTTATAATACCCGATAATTGAATCCAAACATTAATGTATACAGGGCCCAAGACCATAAACTGAGAACAGACTTAAGTAAAAAATTTCGTTTTTGATATCTTGGGTTTTATTGAACAATAATGTATTTTAAAAACCTGCATGTTAGTATGACATACAGATACAAACACGTGATGAAAATTTTATATGATTTTCTAAACCATATCAATAGTTATTTTTATATGAATCTAAAACTTTGACTTAAGTCTTTTCTCAGTTTTTGGTCTTCGAGCCAGGTGATTGTTCAATACATTGAAATAAGTTTTGTATGCGTTACTCAGGTGAACCCTGAGGACCATGAACCTCTTGTTTATTCAAGTTTAAAGAACCGAGAAGTAGACGGAAGTCGTACACAATATCCATGAAAACATGCGGACGCATTGGAGAGATTGTCAGGTATGTCATGAATTTATTACCTAGTTAGTGTAATACAGAAGGGAAAAGGACCGACTCATATGGACGTATAGTAAACAAGTAAACTGGTGGTAAAGGTCACGTGCCTTAAATGACTTATATTTTATTTTAATAATACTAGTAGGTATGATGATGGTTTAGCTTATAGCTCGAAGACTTATTTTTTTTTTTTTCAATAAGACTACAGAACAAAGGACAGCGTTTAAAAATAAATACATAAACAAGGCGGTGACGGTAAGCGTGACACACATTTTACTGAAAAGTCATAGAGCTCGGATCATTGAACAGCTAGGCTAAATATGAAGTTAAAAAGTACGGAAACATTTTCGGACCTATACATGTTTGTCGCGGTTTGTACGTCAATTTCATATATATATATATATATATATATATATATATATATATATATATATATATATATATATATATATATATATATATATATATATATATATATATATATATATATATATATATATATATATATATATATATGTATTAAATCCAAGATAAACAAACAAGTTAATATATACACTTGGCGCTTTCGCAGTGATGCTCTTGGGAGTGTAACAAAGTTTGTTACACAAGATCAGTATCTGTGAAGCGATAAATTACTAACTTTTTCAATGTTTTTAATAAGACTTTTTACAGATAATCCGTTTTCTCACAGATCATTCAAATACCGCTTGTACCATATGTACACCCACATGCATGGCTCGCTTTTGACATATTCCTACTTTCTCCGGCATTTTCAGAGTTTTTTTTTCTGGATTTTTCCAGAGTACAATACAAAATTGTATGGTTAACTGCTGCTCCGTGACGTTCTACGACGTACTTCACTCTTTTTTTGCCTTATTCAATGGGAAGCACCTATCTTCTGAAACTGATTTCATTTCAACGAAGCAAAATATTAAGTCATAATTTGGAATCAGAAACGATGAAAGAATTCTTAATTAGGACCTGTAGAATTTTTCGGTTTTTGTGTCGTTTTACAGAAGATTTATTTATTTCTCGATTGTAAATTACAAAAATTTTGACCTGCTCCGTGATCCGTTTTTCGCATTTTTAAAGTCTAAATAAGTTTGAATTAACCACGATATTTTAAATTTTTTAATATAATTATGTCATTTGAATTTTATATATATATATATATATATATATATATATATATATATATATATATATATATATATATATATATATATATATATATATATATATATATATATATATATAGTGAAAGTGTAGTAAAAGTCCATGGTATAGGTAGGTTATAAATTAAATCCAAGATAAACAAACAAGTTCACATTTAATACACTTAGCGCTTTCGCCGTGAAGCTCTTCAGAGTGAAAGCTTAGGACACTTATGCAGTGAAAAAAAATAACATTGGCAAACAAAATAATGCTACTGGAACAATTGTTAGCAGAATAGATTTCAAATGATAGAGAAACGTTTTAATGAGTGCACTGGTAATGGGCAATACTGTGTGAAATGTATATAGGGCTAGTATTTTTGAGAACCTCATGGTTTTGACGTTACAGTGTTGTCGAGTTTGCTCCATGGTTACAAAACGTGTTGATTTTAAAATTAAATTGCATGGATTCTATTAAAGCGACAACGTGACGGAAAAACGGGAAAATTGACAAAAGTAGAATTTTTGCAAGACACATGCAAATTTTATTCAATTCTTGAAAGTATTAGGTTTCAGAAAATTACAGGTTTCAGAACCTAAAAAAATCTACTTTTATGGAGAAAAATATAAGTAAAAATAATTTTAGTTTGCCCCAACACGAAAATATTGCTTCACTTCTTCCTCTTTCGGGTACGCATGCGCAGAAAAGTTGAAGAAAATACCATGGTGTCAATTCCATAGGTATAAATGTCGGATGACCGAGAATTTTGATATAATCTTCCAAAAAAAGATTGAATGATTGATTGATTGTATGTTTTTAACGTCCCTCTCGAGACTTTTTCACTCATATGGAGACGCTACCACTTGCCGGTGGAGAGTTGCAAATTTTGTCCTATGCTCGGCACTTACGGCCATTGAGCAGTGAGGGATATTTTTCGTGGCAACACCTACTGCGACACGGGACCTCGGTTTATACGGTCTCATCCGAAGCCCCCCCCCCCCCCCAAAAAAAAAGGGGAAAAAAGAGATGATCAAAACTTATTCCTCAATTTTGATTGCTCCAATTTAATGTTGTTTACAAGTTTCACGCTAAAAATAAAAGACACATGACCTTGATATTGTTGACATTGACGATAACTTTTCTTTTTCCGGCACTTAATTTTTGCAGTCTTTTGCTTTTACCGTGCAGATGAGTTCTCAAAACTTCGCCTTATTCATATTTCTCATGAATCTTTAGTTTTATGATACAATTATCTTAAAAGAAACACATGATATTGACTCACTATGTAACTTTAAATCACATATGGCCGGAATGAAACTTCACACTTAAAAAAATAAATATTTCTACATATGATAATGTGCTCATTTTGAATTTATTGAAGATAGTATAACGAAGATTGGCATAGATTAGTCCACGAACTTTTCGAACAACCCTCGTATATGGTTGCAACTTGATTTTGGTTTTGAAATGCATTTTCAACAACTATTGAAATAATTATTCCAATATTGGGCGTTATTTAAATAGTGGCTGCAACAATGCGGCTAAGCTTATTCAATCATGTTACTCATATAAACATATATTTAGCTATTTTCAGGATGATTGAAAAATTGTATCAATCTATTTTCATAAGGCGTGGAATGATTTTGGCGTCGGTCTGTCCACCACTAGCAATGAAGCCGCTAAATTATTTGATGCTGTTTTGACTCAGGTAAAAAAAAAAAAATACGAAATTTTCATTTGAAGTTTTATTAAGTATAACATACCAAGTATTTTATATATAATATCGTACATCTCTTTTCAAAGCATAGTCATACATGTACATGTTAGTGTTAATGTATGCTTGGCAACCATTATTTCGCCGAGAATATGTTTTTCGTGTTCCATGGTAAATTTGTTATGTTTCCTGAACATTTGCTCGAACAAATTGATTCCGTATCCCAATATTTTGTCCAGTATGTCGGATGGTACGATGACGATAGCTTGGGAGGGCTGGAAAAATCGGTGGAAAAAATGATCGCCACTGACCCCAATTTCGGTAAGTTTAAGTAAATGTACAGTAATGTACATTACTTTACATTTAATCTATCTTTACATATTCAGAGAAATTGTCTGACAAAACGATTCATTACCGTCTTCCTTGGAAGACGGTATACAGAGTTGAAGTATTTTACAGTCTTCGGACTATGCATTTCCTCTCTTTTGTGATTGGTAGAAATTGCATGATGAGAAAATTTTCAATTATTTCATTGGTTGAAATGCTGTTCAAGGCAAGGGAGATAATTTTCTGATGATGTAATTTTCGTACGACTTAACAATTTTTTAAGATTTTCAATCGTAAAAAAATATGAGAAAACGAACAGTGAAATTGGCAGTAATTAATTCGAAATAACATGCTGGTTTTATATAGCAATTACAAAACAACGTTTCTATATTTTCATTGTTAACAGAATGATCTTTATTACATGCAAGCTTTACAGCTTGTAAGTATTCTTTTCCCCTTTGTTTTGCACTGTCCTTCTAATCTCGGCAGCACTACCTCGGCCGATTCGTACCTCACCTACATCACTCTCTACCATCGGCTCATACATTCACCTCTGTCGTTGGCTCGCGTATATCACAGTGATAAGCACGAGAAATAGTGCGTTTGTTTTAATTCATTATAATTAAATGTCTGAGCTAATAATAGTCCTTTAAGATAGATATTTACTAAATAGTTATAAAACTATCAGTTTAATTTGAAATAATCCTTGAAATGTGATGTTTTTTTACGTTACGTCAAAAATCTTGACGCGAGCCCACTGCAGAGGACTAAAATCTTTATAAAGAATTGTTTTACAAGATCTGAAAAGGAAACTTCTCAAAAGTTAGTTTTCAATTAATACCACCTACTCAAAGTTGCGCATTTTTGGTGAGAATATATAGCAAAATTTAATACTGTTGTGCAACCTGCAGTAAAACCAGATTTTATACTTAGAAATATTGTAGTCTATAATTTAAGGTTTAATTTCGTGAGTTTAGACGGAAAATGAGAAATAATGGCATTTTTTGGCCGTCATTGCTGTTCGTTCGCGTTTAATGGAGCATAGAAAATTAGTCCAGATTTCCTCTAAAATAATTTATCTTGACCACACAAGGGCCTGATTTCGATGTATCGGGTTGAGAGAAATGCATGAAAATTAGAAGACACTTTAACAAATACCTTGCCATCACACTCGTTAACATTATTTACTCATAAACAATTTCAAAATCTATAAATTTAAAGAATTTAGACTCAACCCGGAGCAAAATAAAAATTCTGAATTTGTGTAAATATCGGTTAATTTGGAACACAGTGGTAACAGATGCAGAAATCTGGTTCGAAAAAAGAATTATTTAGGCAAAACAATCGTAATTAAGCAGAAAACGCCATGATATTTCAATAATATGTATTATTTCAATGCTCTTTTTAACCCCACCCCCCTTCCTTATGACAAAGACTACTTCTTTCGCCCTGTTATAAAAAGCAAACCTATTTTAAATAATGTTTAATCTTTATGTGAATCAGTATGCTTTAATTGAAAATTTGAAACGAAAAAATAACAAAAGTTCAACGCGCAAGATCATGACATACAGTTCAACTTTTGCCATATTTTTAGAAATCTGTGTTCACCGCGAACACCCCTGTCACCGAGTGTCGCCTATATTTTTCCTATCTTGAGACGGATTTTTATGAAACTTGCTTTATTACATTGAATATTCATTACAAATCGGGAAAATAGCATTATACTTGCAAGCAAAAATCATGGCTGACGCAAAATAATTCCTGAATCTTCCCTTCCGATTCGGGCATTTTAACACGAGACTGGAGCTGAATTTTTTTATGAGATGAGAAACAATATGTACACTTCCTGTATTGACTAGATTCATTATAATTTAGGGCGTGCTGATTTTTCTATATACTGTATTTGAGTGGGGGAGTGATTAGGTCCTGGACTTGATTTTCAAGCACCTGCTCGACTTCGACCGAAACAAACTTGCGTGCCTTGCTGGATGCCTATGTATTTTTTGGTACTAAAATCTTTATAAAGAATTGTTTTACAAGATCTGAAAAGGAAACTTCTCAAAAGTTTGTTTTCAATTAATACTACCTACTCAAAGTTGCGCATTTTTGGTAAGAATATATAGCAAAATTTAATACTGTTGTGCAACCTACATATCACAAAGATGACGGAATCAGCCGAGGTATGCCGAATGATCTCGGAAGTAGAATCGAAGTTTACGGAGGCAGCCGGGCATCTGTTAACTTATCACTTGGTAGGGCTTATGTCAGAAAAATACTAATGAAGAAATACAAAGCCAAGAAATTTTCAAGAATTATACGGCCTCATGGGTTTAGGTCATTTTACTGTTTAAGGTTGTTGCTGAAGACGGTAAGCTTTTTGAAAAAGCTCTACTTGTTACTATTTTAGAATTCAATGTTTATGCTCTGTAAGGGTTGATGGCCTTTTTAGTGATGGGTCACGTGATCAAGAATGGTCTGGATGCACTTGGAACTGGGAGAAGTTATTATCTGGATAAGGAATTTCAGACAGATATCCAGACCATGCTTAATTTAGAGAACAGCCCTAGTACCCTCCCACGCGAAAAGCAACACATCAATGCTGTCAAACTCTGGGCTCAAGGGTATGCAAATATTAATGTTATTTTTAAAACAATTTTATTTTTGAATTTTTATTTAGGGAACACAAAATAAATATAATTTCAGTAGTATGCTCTCACTTCAAATTCCTTAAAAAATCTGCATCATGAACTTACTATTTTATTAAAATGAATAATCATGAAACTCTCAGGTCAGGTCAAAAATATCAAAACGCAGCTTCAGTGTCATATTGAGAGCTGTAACCGTTGGAAAGGATGCCTGTAACAGAACATTAAGAGTGTTTAATTGTATAAATTGTAAAATGCCTGTGTTGTAATTTGTGTAGTTAAACACACTTTTTGTATTTGCAAAACTTACCACAGAGAGATGACGGATGCCTGCCTGATCTGGGAGTCTATTTTGGTTGACAATCCTTTGGACATGTTGGCTCTGAAGTTTGCCCATGATTCGTATTTCTACCAGGCTCACCACCCACAGATGAGGGACAGTATTGCTAGGGTCATGCCACACTGGAAAAGCTCTATGCCACTGTATAGGTGCCGTGTATTTCCAGTTTTCTTCTTTCTTACCATTTTTTTTAAATCTAGATCATTTTTAGGCCCTTCAAATATTTTCCCAGAGAGTGTTGTACTGAAGAAATTTTTACAGAATCATCTGTAGTGCTGCTGATGCGTATTTTATTTCTTCATCCTTAGTATCAATTTCATCATTAATGTTAATCTTATCACGGATAAATGAGAGTTCATAAAAACATTTTTAATGTATGCGACTTTGTAGTTATCTGTATGGCATGCATGCGTTTGGACTGGAGGAGTGCAATCATTATGAAGATGCAGAACGTTTGGCTAAAAAGGTTAATACCTGAACATTTAAAGAAGTAAGGTTACAAAAGACTGCTATGGGCTGTGGTGGTCTGTAACAAAACTGCTGTGAAGATTAATAATTTGTCTTTGAATTGGTGAGTGATAATGGAGAAAATCCTCAGTCAGTTAACCTTGCTATTTTTAAGGGTCTGGAACTAAATCGCAATGATTGCTGGTCTACACATTCGATGGCGCACGTGCTCGAGATGACTGGGAGGTCCACGGAGGGGATCAAATTTATGTCAACTACAGAAAATGATTGGAATGTAAGAGAAATGAAGTTTGATAAATAGTAAAAAAGATATATAGACAAGATTATTGCTTCCATTTCACAGAGGAGAAGTCAATGTGATATTAGCTTGTACACATTTTAGGGATAATGTATAATAAAGTGTTTTCATTTCAGTTTATAAAGTTTTAGATTTCATTAACTTAATATAGTTATAATTTACTTTGAAATGACCATGCAGCAAAATTGAATCTAGAAATACATGTACATGTACACAATTGATAACTGAGTTTAAACATTTCTTTTTCTCCCTTCTTTCAGATTTGTGCTATGCTGGCCTGCCACAATTACTGGCATTACGGGGTCTATAATATCGAGCAGGTATGATCTTTTTCATAAGTTTGATGTGCTTTCTTTTGTAGAAAGTGTGGTTTATCTTCACATATACTTTATACATTTAGCTAATTGAATTAAAAAGGCAAATCACCGTACAACATAATGACGAATAGTTGATTTAATTACACCAGTAATTTGTATCTTTCAACCAGTAGGGATTTTCTATATTTACAGGGATTGTATGACGAGGCAATGGGTATCTTTGACACACAGGTATGTTTCCGTACTACACATAGCAATAGTATATACTTTTTTTTTAATTGTCGTACAAGTAGTTGACTAAAGTTACATGTACATTCCAAATTTTTCCTTTAAATTCTTTTCTTAATCATGTTAATTACATGAATTGTATTAGTCTGGTAAAATCAAAGGGGACTTTACTCTTGATATGTCTGTCTATCCCACTGCCCGTCAGTCAGTCTATACCACTTGATTTTCAGGACTTTTTCCTATACACTTGCATATTGAGCTGATATTTATTTTGTGTGTTTGTCTTGATAAGTTGCATTTCGTTTCGATTTGATTTATTTGACTGAATAACGACCTTTGCACATGCTGGTAGGGGACCAGTGTTGCTTATATACAGTACTCTCAGAGTGCTTGTTTGATAATGTAATGCTAACATAATGTCACATCAATCAATCTGAACTGTTGAGAAACATCGCAAAATCCAAACACTGAACAGATTAATTGCTGAGCTTAAATTCTACTATTTAAACTCAAATTTGAATGAAAACTTTTAAATAGCTAAAAATAGAAATTGATATGCATGGATGCACGTATTATTAGTGTCCATTTAGTACAAAATCGTTCACAAAGCATAACACTTGATGGATCAGATAGGCTAACACTTCTATTGCTATACATGGTTTGTGTGTGTGTATATGTGTGTTTATGTGAAGTGTATGTGTGATAATAATCGATGCTGGAATAATTTTAAAAAGCATGCAAAGAACTGGGTACTCTTTAGGTGTAAGGGAGCATTGATCACAGTATTCGTTACAGTACATACTATAGTTACGAATTTATGTTGATTGAATTTTCTTTCAGATGCCATTGAAAATTATGAAATGACTTTCGATAATAATTTAATGACTTTCACTTTCTGAGAATGTTCATCCGAAAATAGGTTTTTTAAAGCCTGAAATTACTACGAAAAGTATGTTAAACCACTCGGAAGAATTTCCTGCTTCATCTATATATTACCAATACTTTTTTTTAAGGTTGGACCAAGGGCAGTCAAAAGCGGCGCAATGCTGGACATGGTTGATGCTTGTTCATTACTTTACAGACTTAACCTGGAGGGTCAGATAAATTTTAATTATTATGCTAAATAAATCCAATTTATGCCTATCATGTATTATTCATATACTTGCAGTGATTTTTTTTACGACGAAAAAAGGTCATATTTTTGTTTTAGGGGTAAATGTGAAAGACAAATGGAAGGAATTCAATGAAATCTGCAAGGACCATGCTGATGATCATATTTTGACATTCAATGACGCTCACTTTTTAATGGCAAGTCTTGGAGCAGAGGATAAGACAACAACTGATAAATTGATGGCGTCACTGAGGGAATTTGCAAAGTAAAATATATTATCAAAAGATGTTTTCTAGTATCTTAAAATTTAATTAACAATATGTTATAAGTATAAAACCTTGGATTCAAAATTTGATTTGGATTTATACGACTCAGAACGTGTCCTGTAATATTAACTGACAACTATGACTTATTTTTTAAGTGGAACTGGTAAGGGGGACAACCAGAGAATCTCCAAAGAGGTTGGGGTCCCATTGTGTGAAGCTCTGATTGCATACGACTCCGGGGATTTCGCTAAAGCCGTCTCTCTTGTAAATCCAATAAGATACAAAATAATAACCATTGGAGGAAGTCATGCACAGGTAGAGAGAGAGAGAGAGAGAGAGAGAGAGAGTTATTCAACCTTTTTTTAGTTGGATATGATTTTTTTTTCACTGTAAAAACTATCACTTTCAAAAATATCTGTTTTATTCAATAAGTAAATTACAGTATTTTACTGTAAGTAATGGATATACATATTGCTGTAATGTCATTCGTTTGTTTTTGTCTCAAACTGCAGTCTGATAATGTATAATATCAGACAGTCTCAGTACTGATAGCCTTCTCAAAATTTAACTGTCAAATAATCGAAGATTAATCTGATATATATATAATGATTATTGTACACCAGAATATTATCTAATGATCATACAGAATTGAAAAGTGAAAAATTTAACTTACCAAAATACAAATGGAAAAAGTTCGACCGACCAGACTAGGATTCAAACACGAGCTCTAGAACTTGTAATAAACTTGTTAAACTTGAAGCAAGGTTTTCATTCAGTGTTATGAAGTTCAGATATTCCCTTACCTATAATCAGAGGTAGACTGTACCACTAACAGCAGAGTTGGCTGGTAAATTTGTCATATTTTAATATACGAGATTTAGTAGAAGAGTTGTACTTCTAGTTACAATTATTATACCTGATTTTTTTTTAAAAAGTCATTCTCAATGTCTACGTTTGGAAATCTACCTTTAACATCTGCTTTATTTTCTGTGTTTGTTCAGTTCAAATAAAGGTTCTTACCTGCATTTTTATCTCCATTCCCAAAATATCATACACAAGATTGTCTGTGTCATAATCCAATGCATTGCTTTAAGCTCTATGAATGTTTTAATTATGGAATTTTCCTATCCACTCTCCATTACAAACTTCAAATTACTTCAAATACCTACTGCGATGTTGCCAATTTCCAAAACCTTAAGTAGTGTTCATTCAAGGTTGCATTCTTGAAAGAATTGCTTCAACAGTCATTTACACTTTTGTCTTTGGTTTGTCACTCGGTTGACCTATTGCTATCTGTTTTCGTCCGTCGTCGGTCGTGAACTTTTGAAAATTTTTAGCTTCTTCTCAGGAATAGTGGAATTAATTTTAACCAATTTTGCCATATAGCATCTATGAGTGAAAGGGAATTTTTTTATAGGAAATTCTTTATCTCTCACCCCAGGACTGAGAGGTGGGGCTGAAACCATAAAAATGTCATCTTTAAGAATCTTTTTATTCCCTCCTGAGTGTCTCTTCTAATGTCCTCTGGGTCAGTGGTTCTGGTGTTAGGGCAAGCCTCTGTTGATTATTAAGTGAAACTGCATTAATTCTTTGGAAATCTTCTCTGTTCCTGGGTACTTAACAGATAAACTAATAACATAGTTATAATAAGCAAGGGTGCCTCTCCAAAAATTGAGAAATTTATGATCTCCTGGGTCTAGGGTTCTGGGTTAGGACGGGGCTTTAATGATTATATGGTGAAAATGCATTAATTCTTCGAAAATCTTTCCTGTTCCTGGTCATCTAGGGGGCAAACAGAGTGCAAAGTTTTACGTGTAATGAACAATTGTGTTTTTACCAAATTTGTGAAATTCTGAACCACAGGGTCAAGTGTTCTGGTGATGGGCAGGGCTCTAATGATCTTGTTTGGAAATTTTACTGTACTGAGAGAAGTTATTTCCCTTTGATTTTCACTCAAAATAATTAATCACTTTAAATAATGTAATTGATAGGTCACTTAAATGAAAAAAATTATGCAAGAATTTTTTAACTAAATATAGGGTACTTTCATAGTTTTTAATGCTTAGGTAGACTTGTAAATAATAGATATATAAAAATTAGACAAAAATACCTTATCTTTTTACATTAAATGTTCTTCAAAGACGAAGAGAGGCACATGTGAGAGGAAATAGCTGAATCACTACACATGTTTAATTGTTTGTTTAGACTGCATGGTGTTAGTGACAAAGGGGAGTGTATTAACAGTGGCAGATACATGCAAGTTAATAGACCTATTTTATGAGTTGTTGCTGAATACTAGACTAGCTATTTTGTTGGCCCTTGCTCATCCTATTTTTCTTGCTTTGAGGCAAAATATCTTCATCTTTCAGTTTTTTTATTGTGTTTTTTTTATACATCTGTTGATCATTTACAGCATTTTATTATACTCCGGAGACAGTTAAGGCCCTTTGGCCTGTTGTTTTTATTATCATTTAATGAAAGGGTTGGTATTTTTAAAAATACTTTTGTGTATTATGTGTTTAAGGTGCTTACAAGATTTTTAAAAAATGTTAAAGTCTTTTAACAACTATGCGAAAAGGAAAACTAAAAAAGTTCACTTTTAACTTCACTTGTCATGCAGAGACCAGAAGAGCGATATAAGGTGTCCGTTGCTCTTCTGTCTGTCCGACTATTTTTCTGTAAACAATTTTTCAAAATCCTACTCCTCCTATAATTTTAGTCCAATTTCAGTATAACTTGGTACACAAGTAGATTACACAAAGATACACAACTCATTCTGTCCATCAGATTTTGAATCGATAAATGGTGTTGCCATAGATATTAAAAATAGAAATTTCTGTGAAATACTTTCAAAATGCTACAGTAACTCCTCTTACAGTTTAAGTCTGATTTCAATGTTTCTTTCTACACAAATAGACTACACAAAGATACATAAATCTATATATCGATTTTTATTTCTATGAAAAGCATTGCCATGGTTACTAAAAATAGAAAATTCTGTGAAATTCTTTCAATATGCCACTCCCCCCCCCCCCCCCCCCCTACACTTTTAATCTAATTTTAATTTTAATAATATTTAGTATACAAGTAGACTTCACTAAGATATATAATTCTATGTATCTTTTTTTTTTTATTTCTGTGAACGGTATTGCCATAGTAACTTAAAAAAGAAATTTCTGTGAAATATTTTCAATATCCTACTCATCCACAGATTTAGTCTGATTTTGATATAACTTGGTACACAAGTAGACTACACTACGATACATAATTCTGTTTATCAGTTTCTGATTTAGGTGAATTGTGTTGCAATGATGGTTATTAAAATTAGATATTTCTGTGAAATTCTTTCAAATCATTACTCCTCCTACAGTATGAATCTAATTTCAACATGAGTTGTTACACAAGTAGACTGCACTAAAATACATAATTCTTAAGATTTTGTTGAATGATGTTGCCATGATTACCAAAAACAGAAATTTCTGTGAAATGCTTTATATACAGTACACCTCCTACAATTTTAGTCCGATTGCAATATTACTTGGTACACAAGTAGACTACATTAAGATACAGAATTCTGATTATCGGTTTTAATTTTGATGGATGGTGTGGCCATAAAATAGAAATTTCTGTGAAATTCTTACAAAATGCTATTCCTCTTACAGCTTTAGTCCGATTTCAATATAACATGGTACACAAGTAAACTACATTAAGATAATTATATAATTCTATATATTGGTTTTTGATTTTGATGAACGGTGTTGCCATGATTACTAAAAGTAGAAATTATTCTGTGAAATTTTTACAAAATGCAACTCCTCCAACAGTTTTCATAGCCGTAGGAACCGGGGGGGGGGGGGGGCGTGCCCCCCAATAATTTTGCCGATATATATAGATTACTATAGTAAACATAGATACTATATACTTGTGCCCCCTCAATAAAAACGTCTGATGACCTTTTTTTTTTGTTTGTCAGGAAATTTTTGGTAGTGCCCCCTCACCTGTCAACTGAAAAATGTTTGGCTGTGCCCCCCCCCCCCCCCCCAACTGCCTGGTTTTACTTCAATATCAATATAACTCGGTAGACTACACTAAGAAGACTACACTAAGTTACATAATTATTTTTATCGGTTTTTGATTTTGATGAATGGTTTTGCCGTAGTTACTAAACGTAGAAATTTCGTTGAATTCTTTCTAAATGCTTCTCCTCCTAAAGTTTTTGTTCAATTGCATTAAAATTGACTCAGAAAGAGACTAAACCAACAATCATTATTCTATTTATTGCTGTTGCCATAGTTTCAAGTCCAAAATGTTACCTTTCTCCACCTTCGTTATTAAATAAAAACCAGTAGTGCTACAGTCTCGTCAGAGACTTCTGGTTTAATAAGTAGGTTAAATAAAATTAATCTTTGAATTTGACACCAATGCGTCTGTGTTTAATCTTTTTAAGACAATAAAAAATTATATACTTATGTAAATGTTTATTGTTACAAGAGAGACGTCTTCAATCAGTTTCTGATCCACGCAGCCCTTCAGTCCCCACAGAAAGATCACAACAAATTGGCAAGGTTTGCATAATCTTTATAAACTAGGATTTCTTATTATGTAATTTGCAAACATTTAGAGGATTACATATGGAACTTAGATAATTGATATTTCTTAAACTTCTTACTAAAGGTGTCTGCTAGCTGACAGAAAAGCTTTAAAATCGAATGCACCGTTGACGGACAGACTCATATCAAGAGCTATGGCGGTCCATGCAGCTGATTAATCCATTGTCATTGTCATTGTTTTGCAACACTTGCAGCTAAAAATTGGACAATCTTATTTTTTTCTTTCTATAATAAATTTTGAGGATTGTTTCGAATGGTTCCCATTGTTTGCTGTACTAATTGCAACTGTTTGTAAAGTAGTATAATGACTATACCGATTACATAGTACTATTTTTTATATTCTTGAATATAAGCTAGAGTGTAAAGATTGTTTATATCAACGTTAAATAATGAAGTGATAAATTGTGTTTATGTTGTGGTATCATACTTTATATCATGTGTATATTATTTACTGTTCCATTGATAACCTACGGTGTATATATTTTAGAAAATGGTCTGGTCGTTGTTGTGAAACGATTTTAAACGTTGGATAATAAAGGGTTTTTCCTGCATGTTTTAAAGTCTAAATATTATATGCATAGTAAAGTCACGGATGTATACAACACTACTGAAGGCAATATCTGATATCTATGCAGACTGCAAACTAGCGAAGAAGCAATTAAAACACAAAGTAAGAATAAAAATATAGAAGTAGAATTGAGTTTATCTTTTTTTTCTTCTCTATCATAACCATAGAAATGTTTCATAATACTCCAGAAAATTAATTTTGAAGAGATCATTTCTACAGAAATGTCTATTCATTCATATTTTTTGTAAGTAAACGTAAAAAGAAATTAAAAGATATAATATTGTTCTCTAGTGGGTTAATATTTAATGGTTTTGGAATTCTTTCACAATACACGACTGTGTTTATTATTGTATAATTAAAAATGATGAAGTTTTTTTCTTAATTTTAACTGCCAATAAACATGAACTTCGACATTTTTGAATGCATGTACCATCGTTTTATTTCAAAACCTTCAAGAGGTTTAGTAATTATAAAATGTATATCGCTAATCTAAGTCATATCTCTCTACTAAGTAGATTTTAACTTCTGTTAATTTTTTTTATATCTCGATTGACATAACTTTTCAAAAGCCTCCTAATTGCATGGCGGTAACATGATAGCAAAATATACATGTATAGTATGTTTTTTTTTTTTTTAAAAAAAATATATTACTAGTATGTGGTGTTTAAACTTGTTAAAAGTAAGTAATGATAGTTTGTTAGCTCTACTGGTCAGAGACCAGAAGAGCTTATGCGATAGTTAGGTGTCCGTCGTCCGTCCGTCTGTCTGTCTGTCCGTCTGTCTGTAAACAATTTTTCAAAACGCTACTCCTCCTACAGTTTTGGTCCGATTTCAATATAACTTGGCACACAAGTAGACTACACTAAGATACATAATCTAGTGCATCGGTTTTTGATTTTGATAGACGGTGTTGCCATGGTTACTAAAAATAGAAATTTCTGTGAAATTCTTTTAAAACGCTACTCCTCCTACAGTTTTGGTCTGATTTCAATATAACTTAGCACACAAGTACACTACACTAAGATACATAATCTAGTGCTTCGGTTTTTGATTTTGATAGACGGTGTTGCCATGGTTACTAAAAATAGAAATTTCTGTGAAATTCCTTTAAAATGCTACTCCTCCTACAGTTTTGGTCTGATTTCAATATAACTTGGCACACAAGTAGACTACACTAAGATACATAATTTAGTGCATCGGTTTTTGATTTCGATGGAGGTGTTGCCATGGTTACTAAAAATAGAATTTTTCTGTGAAATTCGTTTAAAATGCTACTCCTCCTACAGTTTTGGTCCGATTTCAATATAACTTGGCACACAAGTAGACTACACTAAAATACATAATTTAGTGCATCGGTTTTTGATTTCGATGGATGGTGTTGTCATGGTTACTAAAAATTAAAATATCTGTGAAATTCCTTTAAAACACTACTCCAGTTTTGGTCTGATTTCAATATAACTTGGCACACAAGTAGACTACACTAAGATACATAATCTAGTGCATCTGTTTTTGATTTCGATAGACGGTGTTGCCATGGTTACTAAAAATAGAAATATCTGTGAAATTCCTTTAAAACGCTACTCCTCCTACAGTTTTGGTCCGATTTCAATGTAACTTGGCACACAAGTAGACTACACTAAAATACATAATTTAGTCCATCGGTTTTTGATTTCGATGGACGATGTTGCCATGGTTACTTAAAATAAAACATTACTCCTCCTACAATTTTGGTCTGATTTCAATCTAATTTGGCACACAGATAGAATACACTAAGATACATAATATGTATTTCTGTTTTTTTTTATTTTGGTGAATGGTGTTGTCATGGTTACTAAAAATAGAAATTTCCGTGAAATACTTTCAAAACACTACTCCTCCTACTGTTTTCGTTTTATTTCAATATACCTTGGCAAAGAAGTAGACTACATTAGATACATAATTCTATTTATTGTTGCATGTTGCAAAGTTTCAAATCCAAGTGCTACTTTTCTTTTGTTATACGTACAGACCAGTAGAGCTACAGTCTCATCAGAGACTTCTGGTTTTTATTACAGTTTACACGGGTACATGATGATTGTAAATTTTATCTTTATCTTTTCATTGCTAACCTTTAAATGGGATTATTTTCTTTACGCAGTGCAATTTTAAGGTGCGCGCAGTTACCAAGAATGTAGATAAAAATTAATAAATTCAATAGAAAGGAATTGCATTTGAATGAAAAGTCTATAGAATACATGTATCAGCAAGCATTATTCTCTTTCTTATATAAGTATACACATTTCTCAGCGAAAAAGTATCATGATCTGCCTCTCACTGCACATTTAATTTTACCATATTGACGTCACAATAATTAGTAATTGAACTGACCTGTTCTATGAATATTCATGATATTTGGAACATATTGGAACTTTTCATTTGATTCACTGAAATTGCTAAGTTCCGAATAGGTAGACTTACCTTTTTACAAGGATTCAATCTTTCAGGAAATCAGCCAAATAAATTGATTTTATTCTTTTAAAGTGAAAAATCAGTAGAGGTATCATAATCTCAAATAATGGCCAAAGAGAAGTCTTAAGTACGCATCTAAACACACATTTAACAATATTTCATTTGAATCACATTGCAATGACTGATAATCTTAATACAGCACTCTAAGGAAATTTAGATATATGATGTATAAATGTCTGGGTTTTTTTTTTACCCGGTAAGTCATTTCTTTTAAGTGAGTAAACCAAATAAGAAAATTATTTCTCTCTTTTTTAAAACCTAGTTTTAAATACAGAGCATACAAGTGCATGTTCAATACGTTATTTTAACACCTGCTAAGGAGAATTTTTTTTTTTTAAAGTACAGTGTATCTTTAAAACACCGGAGTACTACTCCGCAAAAACACGTGTATTTCTAAGTCGAAGTTATGATGATGCTTGTAATTAATTTTTGAAAGAGATACCAATTGAAATGCTGTTTGGTGAGGTCAAAAACTCGGACTAATTCAGGACCAAGCAATGCGAGGAAATTAACATAATACTGTGTGAAGAAAACCATAAACACCCGTGAATTTTTTTTTTTTTTTTTTTTTTTTTTTTTTTTTTTTTTTTTTTGACTTGGAGGAAATTTTATCATATAAAGGATTATATATATTGAGTTTATCTAGATCATTTTTAATATGGGGTACCTCCATAATTTTCCAGGAAAAGTGTTAAGAGAAAATGAAATCACTTATTTAATTTTCATTGGGGAAAATACATTCAAATTACCACCAAAGACTTCTTGAAATGGTTGATGTTTGAAGGAAAGTTTCTGATGTTGCCCCCATACAACAACTGTATACCGATTAGATGCTTGCGACTAGGGAACTGGAGCAGTTTAGGACCATCCATGAGTGAAGAGACCAAAGAAACACGGACAAAAAACAGGAATTTGTCGTACACGTAAGTCAAGGTATCAGTTTTCTGCCTGCAACCAACTTTGCTGATCATTTAAGAGCAGCAATAAGTTTGAGTTTCGTCTAAAACTAGCTGCAGTCGTCCCCAAACGCGCATGAGGGATGGACAAGATACTGAAATGTTACCATTCTTTAGACAACTGTAAATATGGTCCAAAATGTTCACCATATACAATAAAAATCAAGTTGTTATCATCTATTAACAATTTATATAATTTTAAAAAATGTTGCTAAACATTTTGGACTCGGTATGTAAGGTAAAGAATATTTTAATCTATTTTAAATTGCATGTGTCATTAACGGTTGATTTCCGTTTATTCTATTTTTCATCAAAGGGCAGGCTATTTCTGACTGCATCAAACTAAATCAGAAACTCTATAGTGAGCAGTGTTAAGAGTTATGAAATAAATTCTGGTAAGAATGAGACAGAATCATGGTCACTCAGGTATAGTATTTCGAGGTATTGATGCTGTATATAGCGAGATATAAAGATATGTGAGCAAATCAAACATCTAATTTTAATTGATATCCACAAAGACTTTGTTTACCATTTGGATTGTGTATTGCAGTATATCAATTTGAAAACCTTTATTATTTCGTATATATTAGCCTTCTTACAGGTATTTCAAAATGATTCTCAAAATGTATTTTCTTATCCCACAAAGTGAAGACGTTCAAGTATTTTTATTCAATGTCCGAATATTTTTTTTGCTCTCGATATCTATCTTTAATTCAGTTATACCTATATTCCAATCATTTGTGCCTATTTTCAGCAGAAGAAATTAATAAAAATTCAGGGTACTTAAGTCAAGACTCTAAGTACTTTTTGGAAACACTCACTCACGTACATAGAAATTATTTAATTTTATAACATACAAAGAATAATTTATTTGCAGCCTCTTTAAATCATAATGAAACAATACTGTGTTTAGTATATTATTCTTTTCTTGGAAATGCTTAATTAAAAGTTTTACTTTCGTTTTGGATATAGGTAAGATCTATAACCTTGCACTACTTAAATGTAATGTTGAGGATACTTAAATCTATATCAGATTGTGTCATTTACAGTACATTTCATTTTATTACATTTTACGTCAGAGGGCAGATCATTCCAAGTGCATATAACCGCCATAGAATTAAAACTCTTCAGTGAGCAGTGTTTAGAGTCTCCTTGAGAGAACATAAAATTATTTTATATTTGTTAAAGAATTGTAACTGACGATATTTTGTCCAAAGTACAAAACTTACATTGAAGAAGCTTACCATTTGTCAATCTAAAAAAAACAGTTTTCATATTTTCTCCATATTTTCTACCATTCAATTAGAAAATGAAAAATCAAAAGAGACATTCTTTATTCATCACTTTACAGTAACCATCGAATACACTATAAAATACACTATAAAATACCTTTGCTTCCTAACTAAATCTCTAGGCACTCAGGTTGCTTTTAGTGCTTTTTATCTACATTCAATGTCAACAATTGAGAGTCCATCTTTTAAAACACTACATTTTAACGTAGTGCGTTGAATTCTTTCAG